TGCTATGCCACTGAGCTAAATCCCCAGCCCCCTCACCTGTTTTCTTGATGAGCTTCACCTCCTCATCTAGAAAGTGGTTCTCCAGAAATCACAGAGAAGGGGCTGGGGACTTGGCTCAGTGGCACAGCACCTGCCTGGCAAGTGCAAGGTCGTGAGTTCGATTCCTGGTACCGGAAAACAAACAAACAAACAAACAAAAAAAACCCAGAAATCACAGAGATGGGGATCTGTCCTGGCAGGACCCAAGCATGAAGATTCAAAAGAACTTGGTTCCAGTTCTTCTCCAGGGTCAGGGCAGCTTTTTTACCCCAGTCATCTTTAGAAGGTTTCTGCCCATCCTGAAAGAAATCACAGCTGCCATGTTGGTTTTGCATCTTCAGGAGTTGCTTGGAGCCTTTGTGCTTCTTGTGGGCCAGCTTAGCTTGCCAGAGAAATGCCCCATGCTCACCAGAGCCACACTATCTCCACGGAAGGAGTAGCCCAGAGAAAGGTAGGTGTAGACTGACCAGGCGGCGCAGGCGCAGACTGACCAGGCGGTTGACGGCAGCCTCCACCTCAGTGGGATGATTCCCACGAATCCAAGAGGTTAAGGGTGCTCAGCAATAACGAGCTGCCCTTATTGCTTGTGGTCGGGTCTGGAAGCGGAAGATGGTGAGAAGATGTTCCCAGAGTCTGTGACTGGAAGGATGAAAGAGAGAGAGCTCCCGGGTCTGTTCTGACAACACTCTGTTGAAACAAGAGACAGATCCTCAGGACCTCTGGATACACCTGCTGGAGGTCCCTGTTTCTGAAAATAGTCTCCATGCCAGACAAGTCCTCCCAGTCACTGAGGGAGTGGCCAGGCCAGTGGACGCTCCTCCCGACTTCCGGCAGGTGCGAGCTGGAGGTGTCTTGCATCCGCCCTTGGCCCTCTGTTGACAGTGTGACTTAGAACACAGGGAAAGCTGCTCCACACCAAGCTGGTGTACCCTGGAAGCAGGGTTCAGTGACCCCTCCCCACCGCCAGCACAGCTTCCCACCTATGGGGCACGAACTGGTAGATAAATGCCATCCCTTTACGCCTGCACTTCCCACTTCTTTCTTGGTCTTTTTTTTTTTTTGAGACAGGACCTCCCTATGCAGTTCGGACTGGCCTTGAGCTCACTTTGTAGCCCAGGCTGACCTCGAACTCCCAACAATCCTCCTGCCTCAGCCTCCCGAGTGCTGGGATTACAGGTGTGTGCCACCACCCCGGCTTCCACTTCTGCTTGTTAAGGGCCACTGTGCCTTCGTGGGATTCAGAGATGCAGGGGCAGAGCCCGCAGCCCCAGGCTGTGCTCCTGACCTCCCATCCCTGGAGTCAGACCTGTGCTCCGGGGTGATTTGGGAAAGCCCGAGGCTGGACTTGCCACGGCAGAGTAGAGGCAGGGGCACAGAGGCTGTGAGCAGAGCACCTTGTGGCTGGAAGGCAGAAAGGCGGTGGGTATGTGGCTCACCTTGCCTTGCCTGTCACAAACAAGTGAGATAAATCAATTTACTAAGATGAATGCTTCTTTTGACTCACAGCTCTGGAGGTTTTAACCCACAGGCAATTGGCTCTGAGGCCACAGGCCTTGGCAAGGCAGCACATTATCGAAAACTGGGTTAAATAACCCTAAATTGCTGCAGGTTGATCAGGCCCATAATCTCCCAAGCAAGTGGATGGCAAAGGCTTAAATAAATGAGACAACGGCAATGATTTTAGGGCTCCAGGAGGGACTAACTCTCTTACAGCTTCAGTATTCTTGGAGTTTAGCCAAAGACTTCTCTGGATGGCCCTATTTATTTGGTTTACAAACAAAGGAGGAGGATACTCAAGAAAATGCGGGAATCTGGGCAGAACTTTTCCGGTAATACATTATGGTTTTTTGTGGAGTTTTTTTGGTCTTTTTTGAGACAGGGTCTCCTTATGCAGTTCAGGCTGGCCTTGAGCTCACTTTGTAGCCCAGGCTGGTCTTGAACTCCCAAAGATCCTCCTGCCTCAGCCTCCCGAATGCTGGGATTACAGGTGTGTGCCACCACACCCAGCTACATTATGTTAATTTAGGAGAACTATGTTATCTCCAGGAAGACCTTCACAGCAGGAGTGAGGTGCCTGAAGCTGCAGCCTCCTTTAAGTTAACTGGGGTTGGAGCCAGACATCCTCAGCTGTGGCCTTCGGACAACTCACAAGTAAACACAGAAAGCCAACTGGTTAATATTAAATCCTGCTCAACAGCACATCCTGGTGGGAGCATAGGGCGCGGCGAGACAGCTCACTTTGAGGTCAGGAGATTACCCCCCAGCTCTTGAACTTTCTTCTGTCTTCCAATAGACAGTCTTCCCATCTCTTAAAGCTTCTGACATCTCCCCAAAGTGCCCACTTAGGGGTTAAGCCTTTAATCTACAGGCCTTTGGAGGCCCCTTAAGGCCCAAACTACAGCAGGAGAGACGGGGCATGGGCCCCGTGGCACAGCGCTTGCTCAGCATGGCAAGGCCCTGGATTTGACCCTCGGCACTGGAAGCAAAACCACAGCAGCATGGAGTTCACAGGGGAGGCACAGGGGGTTTGGCTGAAGGACATATTCACTCTCTCTTCAGAGCACTGAGAAGGCCCCTGGGAAGGAAGGCGTAGAATTACAAGGGCAAGGGAAGAAAATGTCAGTCTTTCTCTCTAGAAATTCCCTTCTGGCCCTGCTCCACATCTCTTAGAAGCCACTATTCCCCAGTGGATGTCAGAATGACAGAATTTTGAGACATTCATATTTAATGACCTCAGGTCTCACAAGCGACCCAGCAAAGTAAATCATCAACATCACCCCTATTCACTGCCCTGACACAGCAGGAATTATTTGCATGAACATCCACCCACTACGTGGGGCATTGATGTCTTTCTTTTTTTTTTTTGTCTTTTTGAGACAGGGTCTCACTGTGCAGTTCCGGCTGGCCTTGAGCTCACTTTGCAGTCCAGGCTGGTCTTGAACTCAAAACAATCCTCCTGCCTCAGCCTCCTGAGTGCTGGGATTACAGGCACATGCCACCACGCCTGGAGCGATGTCTTTCACACAGCACTTCCTATAAATGCTCATTACTCACACTGGAGACCATCTGATTATTTTTGTTGTTGTTGTTGTTTTTGTTTTTCTTCTGATACCAGGAATCGAACTCACGACCTTTCGCTTGCCGGGCAGGTGCTGCGCGCTGCGCCGCTGAGCTAAATCCCCAGCCCCTGAGACCATCTGATTATTAACAGGTTTTCAAAAATTTCATTCCCACCCACCCTCCCTCTTGGAGAGCCATCCTGGTGCGGGGCTGGGTGACAGGAAGAGCTGGGCCTCAGATAATTCTCCGCAGAGGAGCAAGGGAGGGGGAACACAGGAGTCAAGCTTACTTCTGCGGTCACACTGTCACCACCCAGAATCGTTTACGTGGGACATTCTGGCCTCCCTGTGCCCGGAGGAACACAATGGTTCTTCCCATCTCTCCTCTCATCTACCCTTCCCTCCTTGGGTTTCCTTCCCTCCCCATCCACCAGAACCCGTGACCTGTGCTTCAGCGGCCTGCTGGTGAGGACTCCTAGTGGTTTAGTATTTTGCCTGTTCCTGACCCTGCCAACCCCTGACTCTGAATAGCTCAGGCCTGGGCCCATGGGCCAGATCCCCGAGAACCATCCCTGCACATCCGCAATGCTGGAGCTGCCTCAAAAGCACAGGCCTGTGGGGCTCCCCAGAACTCTCCCTCGCCATCAGCACCTCCCTTTGCATTCCTTCACTGCTTCCCACAAAGCACCCTGGTTATCACTTCTCCACCCACGCCCAAGAGGTGCCGCTCCTTCCTATTTATGGACTACAGACCAGAAGCCAGCTAGGCAGGAGTTTCCCCCACTTCCTGCCCTCCATCTATGAGTGCGTCAGTGCCCACATCCTCCTTCCCTCCTTCCCTCCTTCCCATACCCTGTGTACCTCAGAGGAAGAGCACACCCTCTTCCCACACCAGAGTGACATCCCTTCTGCCTGGGCCTCCTGGGAGAACGTCCCTTCTCGTCCTCATCTGCTCAGCCTCATCAGTCTGCTTTTCTTAGGTCTTCTTAGCCTGGCTCAAAGCCAGCTGTGTGTTTTCAGCCCCAATTACATTGCTTCTACCCATGACCCAGTAACTTTCTGATTTCTAACTTACAAGAAACTATATTTAGCTGGGCATGGTGGCGCACACCTGTAATCCCAGCACTCGGGAGGCTGAGGCAGGAGGATTGTCATGAGGTCAAGGTCAACCTGGGCTACATAGTAAGTTCAAGGCCAACCTGAACTACATAGAGAGACCCTGTCTCAAAACAACAATAACAACAAAAACCCTAGAGCATTTTTGTTTCAAGTCATAATGAAGATTATCTGGAAATGTATAATGGAGTAATCCAGCATACCAGAACCAGTGTAGGCTTAAGGAACAGCTGAAGCCTGAGTTATAAAAGAGCCTGAAGTGGTGGTGGAAGCTAGGATAGGGGGAGAGGCCAGGGACATAATTTGGCTTGGATTGCTGTGATTTAAGATGCTATTGTAGGTGGAAGCTATTAGTTCACGTTGTCCATGCTATGCACACAGAATAGCTATTTGGAGTACAAAGTAAAGAATCTCACTTAACATCTGAATTTAGTATCATGGCCCTTGATCTTTGTTGTAGGTGACAATAAATCACAGATTTCCAAGCTCTAAAATCATTCTTTCATTCATGAGTTCAAAGTACACAGACATATGCCTCTTGACCTATGAGGGGGTTATGATAAACCCTTTGTCAGTGGGAGATACTGTAAGCTAAAAATGCATTTAATACACTTCGCCTCTTGACTATCACAGTTTGGCTCCAGAAGTGCATTGTTGTGTACTGATTGCATCCCCCGTGATCATGTAGCTGAGAACCGCGGCTCATGGTCACTGTTACCACTGAGAGAGTATCGTCCTGCTTTGTTTATTTTTTGTCTTTTTTGAGACAGGGTCTCACTATGCAATTCTTTCTTTCTTTCTTTCTTTTTTTTTTTCCGGAACCGGGAATCTCTCACTATGCAATTCAGGCTGGTTTTGTATTCATTTTGTAGCCCAGGTTGGCCTCGAACTCACAGCAATCCTCCTGCCTCAGCCTCACGAGTGCTGGGGTTACAGGCATGCGCCACCACACCCGGCTCTCAAAGTATAGTTTCTACCAAACCCCTGTGGCATTTGTACCATGATAAACTGAAAAAACATTAACTGAACTGTTGTAAGTTGGGGGCTCTCTGTTCAGACACACAGCTTCTCCAGTTAATTTGATTTTCATGCCAGTCTAGGGAGAGAGGTTTTGTTATTTTTTCCATTTTATAGACAAGTCATCTGAGATTGAGAGATTTAATTACATAACTTGTGCAAACCAAGCTCAAGCAGAAGGTAAATTAGAACAGTGACACTTAAACTTTAAGGCTGTACTTCCATATTATATTTCCTTTGGATGTAGATTAGTAATATTTGTCTCTTTTACCTTTTGAAGTTATCTGTCCTATTTCTGGCAGCTAGATGGTTGTTTTGGCACGCACTGGAGCAGAGCAATTAGGAGGAGCTTGGTTCTCAGTGTCATGAAGTCTGGCTCTTCTTTAGCCCTGCTGCCTTCAATGTATCAGCAATCCTCTGTGAACTTCAACTTCTGCATCTGTAAAAATGAGAAAATACCAGTCACACCTGCTACACAAGGTCATTGTACGATTTCAATGAATTAATATGTGCAAAGGACTTGACGCAGTAGTAGATTTCATATCACTGTGTGCATCGGACCTATAGTGCAGTGATACCTCATTAGGAAGCATTAATATTATGTTACTATATGTTCATTTATTTTTCAAAGAGTCCAAAATTCCTCACTTTGCAAAAAAGAAGGGCTCCTTTAAGTGTTCATGCTGAATCTTACTGTCCCTAGTTTGAGGTCCTATTGATGATGTATTGATTTTTTTTTTTTTTTCTTTTTAAGACAGGGTCTCTCCGTGTCATTCAAGCTGGTCTAGAACTCACTACGTAATCTAGGCTGGCCTTGAATTTACAGTGATCCTCCTGACCGTTGGGATTTCAGGCATGTGCCACCATGCCTGGCATATTGATTAATATATATATTTTTTGAGACAGGGTCTCGCTATGCAGCTCAGGCTGGCCTTGAGCTCACTTTGTAGCCCAGGCTGGTCTCGAACTCAAAACAATCCTCCTACCTCAGCCTCCCGAGTGCTGGGATTAAAGGCTTGTGCCGCCACGCCTGGATCTTGATTAGTATTTATGTAGGGCTAGGAGGATGGTGGGCACTTGGAGAGACATACTGCCAGCTTCCAAGGATCCTTGGAGGGATACACCCCAGGAGTTCCCCGGTCTCCTGAGGTGGGGAGTCAGCGAATGTGGCTGAGAAAAGCTTCAAGCTCAGGCTGTGTGTCTTGGTTACTTTCTCTCGTTGCTGAGACAAAATACCCCTCGCCCAGAATTAAAGACAGGCTTCTTTACCTCACAGTTTGTGGAGGTTTCAGTCCCTAATCAGCCTGCTCCGAGGCAGGGTGGCATGGCCCCGGGACAATGCTTCAAGACAGCACAAGACAGCAAATGCAGCAAGAGCAAAAGCGTGGGGAGCAAGCCGCTTTTCCTTTCTGATACTGTAAGCAGGATACCACCCCTTATGGCGGGTGTACGCAGCACTTACACCTTCTCCAGGGGGATCTCTTGCACAGGACGAGGATGTTCACAAAATGAGGACCCTGACTCCCTGCTGAGGGCTAGTTAACCTTCTAAACCTCTCAAGTTGACACAATGTATCAATCATTACACTGTGTTTGCACTGACGGCTACCTTTGCTCTACATTGCCAAGTACCTATGACTGGAGCCCTTTTTTTTGAGACAAGCTCTGGCTGTGTAGTTCAGGCCGGCCTTGAGCTCACTTTGTAGCCCAGGCTGGCCTCGAACTCATGGTGATCCTTCTGCCTCAGTTTCCCAGGTGCTGGGATTACAGGCACGCGCCACCACGCCCGGCTCAAATGGGTACTTTCACGAGCTCTAAATTTTTAAAAATTAGCAACACGAACAGTTCAGGATTGGATATGCTGATGGGGTGGGGGATGGGATTTGCCTTTTAAACCAACTTCTGCAATTAGACGGCAACAGACGTGTCTGACGGCTAAAACCCAAATTGGAGTTTGAATCTGCCAACGACACATCACCGATTCTCGAAGCTTCAGTTTCCAGGCAGGAGCTTTTTTTTTTTTTTTTTTAATTTTGGAAACGGGAATTGAACTCAGGACCTCACACTGGCCAGGCAGGCGCCGTGCCTCTGAGCTATATCCCTGGCCCTAGCCTCAGTTTCCCTCTCTGTCAGAAGCACTTATTGCTAAGCAGCAGGAAGAGAAAATGAAGAAATGTGAAGAGCTTGGGAAAGCGCGGTAGCCTCGCTGAGAGACGCTCTTACCTTTCCCACCGTAACACCTTATCCCCGCACTCGCCCAATAACCAGGGCGGCGGCCCCTTTAAAAGCCCTGACGAATCGCCCTCCCACTTCCGCGGCGTCTGCTCGGCTCTCGCTAGGGGCTGGATTGGTCGGGCCTGGCGCGCGCTTTG